CACACAGCTTCATAATGATTTGAATGGTTGATTTACTGCAAGTCTACTAGCAAACCTCTTGAATATTATATTAATAACCTTAAATGAAGCTCTAGCTATTTGTATTTCTGTTTCTAACTCTTTTTGTATATTGGACAGCTTACCGTCACGTTCCTGATTTTTAATGTTTGTGTTTATAAGGGCGCCTACAAACCCATCCGTTTACAGTCTGCTTTATTGTCCAATGAAACTGTTTGAAACCAGTCCCGGTTCGGACCAGTCAAGGGTTCGGACCAGTCGATCTGCTCTGATCAGTGGGTCACTTATTTAAAACATACTGGTCGGTGATTTGAGCTAACACATGAAGGATCTACTGGAAAATTATCTACCCGAGTAATATGTGATTTGACTGATACAAAAGTATAACTTGCGTGTTGAAGAGCCGGTGATATCTGGCAGCTCCTACAATGACGTACAGTCGACCTCTTTGTTTATCAATCGCTGTATCTGGCTTTTCTATTTTTGTTTTTCCGTCTCCACCACAATAATGCTATATTATCACTATAGTTGACTGGTGCAAATTTTGGAGGAAGGGCGCTTTTTCTGTAGTAATAATTGCTTCTCGTTGTGTATATTCGACCGCTGGTAACTACAGGTTATATGAAATTCACAGTACGTCTCGTATTTCAGAAAATGAAACACTAATGAAAGTCACTCCACTCCACTAAGTACCATTATAATACTGGTTAGTTGCTACTACAACACTGTATTCTGCTATTCACTGGTATCACTAGATTATATGCGAGTACACTAGCAGGCCAGGAAGATTATTAAAAACAGCTGACCTGTGGTAAGTTTCTGGCGACTTCTGGCACCTGCCTCTATAGGCTTATCACTTCATTTACAAATTCACCTGTTTTCAAATGACACTTTAGCCTTTATCATCAATATACTAGGGAGCCACTGTAGTATACACTATACACTATGTATACTCAAAGCTTTCAGGGAGACTTTCTTTCCTCTGACACAACGTTCAATTATTATTATTTTTTCCACACGGGAAACAGGCCTATGATTCCCCTCTGGCAGTAAACTCTGCTAGGTAATGCACACTAATTCTCCTTTTTTGACTCAGTATATAATGTTTTCCGCCCAAGATTGGTTCCAGGCGCTAGAGGGATGTATCGTATAGGATTGATGACACAAATTAAAGTTCTAGCACGTAAGAGCGACCGTGAAAACACCAGAAAGCCGGGAGCACAACGAGGCACGCTGACGTGCCGAATAGGCAGAACTTGCGATCTTGGCTTAAATAGCAACGCTCATCTTGCCATATAGGACACGAAAATTTGTGTATGCAATAATTTCGCCAAAATCATTCTGAACATAACGAAAAAAATATATTTCACTGTGTTTGTTTAGTATTAAATTATTGTAAACAAATCTAAAATATATTTAGTTGGGTTAGGCTAAAATAAATTGTTCTTGTTATAATAAGGTTAGGTAAGTTTTTTAAGATTCTTTTGGAGTAAAATTAAAAAAATTTACGTTAACATTTATGAAAAAAATATATCTTTAAACGTATAAGAGAAAATTTTGGAAAGGACTTAATTTTAAATGAGTTCTTGCTAATTGACCAGTTTTACATATTCGGCACGACACACACACACACATATATATATATATATATATATGTATGAAATTACTGCGAGGAAGGAAAATGGTGAGAGTGTTTACCTAGTGTTTGGGGCTCTCAGTCCCTCACACCCGCCGGAAAGGGCCAAATATTTTCACTGGAGGAAAGGTATCAGGTTACTCCTTCCCTCTTCCCTTCACGAGTCGCTACTCTGCTGGGGGTGAGGGGTTCTCCTCTCCCCTTCCTGATCTCGGTTGGGAGTGTGAAGTGCCCTTCTTCCCTTCTCATCCAATGTTAGGATCGTGTGTACATACGGTGGAGACAGCAGGTGAAGACTAACAGCAACAGCTATATTAAGAGCATCATCATCTACAGAGCTGTAAACAGCAGCAAGAGCATTGGCTACAGCAGTAGCAGCAATAGCAACTTCAGCAGCTCAAGCAACATCAGCTACAGAGTTGTAGCAGTAGAAGCCAACTTAGAGCTGCAGCAGCAGGAAACATGACCAGAGCCATGCTAGAGCGGCAGCAACGAAGCACAAGACAGGAAGTAGACGTCAGTATAGTGTGTCGCGATGACGGCCCTGAGTGTTCTGAGAGTGGCAGTTTTCATGAAGAACCGACTCGCTGACGAGTGACAGCCGTTGTTGCCATAACCGCCAGATGCTGCTGGAGAAATAGAGCAGTGTTGAAGGGGTAGTGATGATGTTGGAAGGTGTTATTTTTTTAGCAAAATTGGGGTTGGAGGGAAGGATGAATATTGGTGTTTAGGGGACGGTTTATTTATGTTGAAAATAGTATAAAATACCGACAAGTTGATTAAGACATGTGCAACATTTCAGTATCTTTGTTGAAACGTTCCACCTACAGCCCTACACAGTAGGCTTCTTCAGTTAAATACACAGGCAGCAGGTGTAGCAGTGAAATAAAGGTGTAATTAGTCCATCATCCTTGGAGAATATTCCAGGTGGTTAGTTCTTCGGCCTGGAGCTGAACTCTTCTCCAGGCTGAGGGACTGACCACCTCAAATACTATTTCTCCAACGTTGTTGTGATAACATCTTCATTTAATACACTTGCTGCTTCTGTATTTAACTGAAGAAACCTACTCTGTAGGCGAAACGTTTCAGCAATAAAGATACCCAGATGGTGCATGCGTGTCTTAATCAAGGATTTATTTATTTACAGGATTGCAAAAAAAAAAAAAAAAAAAGCTAGAACTATTTGGTTGTCCGGGACTTCGAAAATAATGTTGCTATTGTCATTATCAGTTTGTTAATGCCCTTGCCAATTTAGCGTTGTCGTCACTAATTGCTATCATATTTGCAGAGTCCTAATACATAATGTGATTAAAACAATTCAAAGCAACCAGGAGGCCTAGTCTGGGACCGGGCGCAAGGGGCGATGACCTCCGAAGGCGACTACAAGTAACCTACTGCTAGTCCATTACTCGCAATATACAAAAGATATTTTATGTCGACGACCATAAACCACGGTAAATTTTGACAAAAAGTAAATAACACTTATCTTCATTCAGAAATCCATCCTTGGACCACTCACTCAGGTATGAGGTAAGAATTATGCTCATACTCGTAAGGAAGCATTAAACAAGGTCTACCTGCCTACCTACCTGGAAGTCGTTCCGAGGATCAATGCCCCTGCGGCCCAGTCCTTGACGAGACTTCCCGGTGTATCAGGGCCTGATAAACCAGGGATTGTGCAGTATCTCGCCTGAAGAATGACAGGTACTCCTGGTTGATCCAAGAAAGTGGAGAGTAGTTCCAATGCTTTAGACGAAGAGCCCTTAACCCCCTCACCACTTCTCTGAAGAGAGGCTCTTCCCTTACACTTGGACACAGTTACCACCGAGTTAGACCAGGTGTCCAGACGGTGAAAGAATTGTTGAAACTTGTCACAAATAAAAGATCCTGCAAGTATTTTGGGAGTACATTGTAAGTAAATTTGGCTGTACTGTCCGTACATAACTCATGCCGCCGCGCGACACACACACACACACATCACACACACACACCACACACACACACACACACACACACACACACACACACACACACACACACACACACACGCACACGCACGCACGAGAGATAGTTATGAAAATCGGAAAAGGACAAAGACGACCGGATATCATGTGGGAGTTCGATACGTGGATTAGGGTAGAAATACTCACGTAGGCTGTTATTACTTATAATTGCTGTTATGTGGAGGGAGCCCGCAGCCGTTACCTGTCTCCTTGGTTACACTCGTCAAACTGACTAGCCGGCTGGCCAGTACCCCGTAGTGGGTCTTTTGAAAATAGTGTCAGCTCAGCACAGACCGTGACTCAAGACGGTTGGTCGTTGAGTCAACGGACAGGTTACTGGTAACTGGTTACTGGTAACTGGTTACTACTACTGAGAGCTCACTACTGAGACGGAAGCAGAGTACAGGCTCGAGGAACGAAGGCCGCAAACCTCTCTGAAAAAGGAAGAATTCGTGGTGGGCATAGTTTAAAGTATTTTTGTGCCTGAGGCACACAAAATCATAAAAGAACACTGCAGCAGGCCTACTGGCTTATGTTAGGTAGGTCTAACTCGCACCCACTCTTATACCCGTCCAACGTATATTTAAAGTCACTGTTCTTTTCTCAACGCTAGAGTTTATTCCAATCATCCCACAACTCTGTTGCCAAACCAGTAATTCCCAATATCCTCATTTAAATTTAAATTTCTTCATTATGAACCCAACGTTGCGAGACTTCTCTGGTTAGACATTTTCAATGCTTAATTTATATCCTCTTTATTCCTGTTTTCCATATGTACACTTTAATCATATCTTCCATGATTCTATAAAGAATAGGTTATTGACTATATTTCTGGTGCAGTGTAAAATACTTCTCGGAGTCGAACCTTAGGTTTATTTGGGTTTCTGATACAGGCAGTGTTCTAGGCTACTCTACCAGGCACTTGCCTGGCGGAAGAGTGAGGAGAGACTTCGTGCTTATATATCTGCTAGAATATTGAGAACAACCCATTGTGCTGTTGTAGGCCTATGCCCGCAACAGCCTAGTAGCATGGTGCGAAATATGAGGAGACCTGACGCGAAATATAAAACCCGACAGTGCTTACAATTTACGCCATTCTGAAGAATGCAAGTTCGGCAACTTCGGCTTATTTTCGTATGTAAAGTTTTCTAATACATGGAATAAACTGTCATCCTTCTATATATTTTCGAATGCATTTATGTCCAGATTCGACCACATCATTTGTGGTACTAAGTAGCTCTGAGGAGGATAACTGATAAATACACCATATCTTTGTATTAAGTGTTTCTCCCTACCCTTCTCACCTTGCTAGCCAATTAACTACACCTGTTTAAATTTTACAGATGAGCGGTGATGCTGCATTGTGGAAATTCGGGCAAGTACTGATGTGTCGCTTCAGTGTAGTATTCCAAGTAACCGGGTGCATTAGCTACCAACAGCAGCTTGCTGCGCTTCATGCCACCCGCAAGGTGCCATCTGGAGTCCATACGACTACAAGGAGCCATCTGTGGTCCAAGTGGATCACGGGCTGAGCAATCTTAAACGGAGCTTTTGTACTCACCACCTGCAAACTTGCTCTTTTCCTTCACGTTAACTTGCACCTTTATAGCTACAGGTGTCAGTATAGTGATTTCTCCTTAGATAATACGTTCGTTTTCCTTTTATTGAAACAAAAGGAAGTGGTAGCTACCTATTGAAGTGTAGTATCTTAATGCCAGAAAAAGAGAAATGAAATGAGAAAAACTAAGTGTTGCCAAGAGGAACATGGCGAAAATTTGTGGAATGGTATTTACTGACTGTTGCTTTCCCAAATATTTCTAAACTATGTTCTGCACAGTAAACTCACCATGGACACAATTTTTCACTGTCGAGTCTTCTAAGAGTTTTGCCCGAGTGTATAGTTTAGCGCCGTAGGTAGATGTCTTGTACATTACTCTCATCATGGACACAATTTACTGTAGTCATGGAAAAAGTTTAACGCGGTTACGTGAAGTGAAGGTGAGAGAGCAGTAGAGTGATAACACGTGGTGCAGTAACAGAGTGGAGAAGCAGCGCGTAAGGAAGTGAAGTACAGGACTTATCAGTGATGAAGTGGTCAGGGATGTCCGGGGTGGTCGCCCAGGAGCCTTTAATAAGGGGCCCCTTGCTAGCACAAGCGACGTGTATCCTGCTGCTTGTGGTAGCATCGTGGGCACAGCCTATCCACTCGACACACACGCCCTCTCAACTTCACCACACCAACAGGATGCCACTCATAGTAAGATCTCTGATCTAGGCCTATTACAACCTTGCTGCATGAGTCCGCGGGTACCTCATAAGGGTGCCACCCAAGCCGCATCCGCCACCTCCATACTCTTGCCTTATTACTGCTGCTCTCACTCCCGTGAACCACTCACTGTTCACTCCTGTTTATACGTTGTTGCTTATTAGTGTCCTCATTTCCGCCACCACAACTTCTAATACTGTGAAGTCATTAGCAAGGTTAGTTAACAGCACTGCTGCTGTGTTTAATTTCGCCATTTCAGCATTTACTAATATTTCTGAAAAATAAACAGTAACAGCACTAACCACTTTGCAAACATCGTAGACCATTTCGTAGCAATAATAATCACATTATAGTATTGAGACTTTTAGTCGTGCTACTTATCTTTACCATGATCACTCTCTGTTTGTCTCTAGTATGCCAGTATAGTATTGAGACTTTTAGTCGTGCTACTTATCTTTACCATGATCACTCGCTGTTTCTCTAGCATGTCAGTATAGTATTGAGACTTTTAGTCATGCTACTTATCTTTACCATGATCACTCTGTTTGTTGTTTATAAGTTCATCAAAACTTTCCATCACATCTTATGATATCTTTATTTTTTTTTTACGTGGTGAACCGGTAAGCCAGCGGAAGACCTTTGCTTTTGAAAGCTCCACCGAGTCCTTATTTGAATGAGCTGCGTCAGGAGAATTTTTCATATTTCTTCCTATAAACCAAATACAACCACTACAAAGTCAAGAGGTCCCCCGTAAACTACGTTTGCTGGTTTGTCGAGGGAGGAACTTAACTCTTGACAAGGATGAGGGTTAACCTCTGTCCATAACCTCCTTCCTCTGCTTGCCTCACAGCCATCTCTTTTCTTCCACCCTTTCCTTGATGATTATCTGTTTGTAATTACAAAAGTTTATAATAGTATTTGAGTGTTTAATGTCGTATATATTTATTAATATTCAATCTCTGTAGTAATTGCTAGTTCTCTGGTATCCAAGTCTATTTTTCTACCATTCTTTGTGAAGAAAAACTTTCCTGGAGTCTACCTGGAGGGTGTTCCGGGGGGTCAACGCCCCCGGTCCATGACCAGGCCTCGCGGTGGATTAGGGCCTGATCAACCAGGCTACCTTTCGCTCCCGGTGAACGAAACGTAGCCTAAATAAATATTCAAATGCTCCAAATTGTTCAATTTAGGTAAATAGCAGTACAACTTTTCATACTAATCACACTGTGTTTTCATACATTCATGATTTTTATAATTACCGGAAGTTTTTATAATTTCCGGAAGTTTTAGAAGTCTTTTAACATTGAAAACTTAATAGGTTCTTAATTGATGGTCATTTTAAAATTGGTACGACATTATTTGTGCTTGGCGTTTAATTCATGTTCGTAGCTTTTATTATTTAATTTTGTTTATTATTTCTCTTCTTGATTGGCACGGACAGTGAGCACCGTTGTACTACACTGTCAGATTGCTTTGTTAACTTCAGTATTGCCATTCTTTTGTGGTTCCATTTACTCAGTATATCAAAATGTTTTAGTCATTATTTTAGTTGATTTTGACATCTGAAAATACGTATATTCATAATAGGTTTTTATTCCTTGTGGCACCTGGGAGAGTCCCACATTCGGTGCAGTTTCAGTGATCTCAATGAAACTGATTTAGTACACAGGTCGACTTTAGTTATACTGTTATGCACACTGTCTTGTGGGTGGTAGTCACCAAGTATCCATCACGTGGGCATTAATTACCCCATGCCCATCCTGCGGGTGGTAATTCCATACCCATGCTGCGGACACTTAGTCACTCCAGTCGTGTGGGCAGTATTAAAAAGAAAAATAAAGCAGATGGGTCCAAGTGTCTAGTTCCAAAACAGACTTTACATTCTTTATTTTGTACATCTTCCTCCACTGCCCCCAAATTGTCTAGCTGAGACCCATACACGTTTAAAGCTCTTTTGATATAAATTATTACATTCACAGGGGGGACTCTAAATCCATAGGGGTCCTGTGGGAATGGGAGGTAATCAGGTTAAATTCCTTGCATCAAGATCCCCATACACGGCATCAAGGTCCACTAAATTATTACTATAATCATGGGGGAGCACTAATCCCGTAGGGATTACACAGAGCCTGTGTGGGTGGGGATGGAAGGTGTTCAGAGAACTGTAGCACAGATGCAATTCCCTAGATCAAGAGCCCCTCACCAGCTTCATGGAAACTCTTGAGGGGAAGGTCCATTAAAGGAAATATCCTTGAGGTGACTAGATACTTGCATAATTATAGCGAAGTGCTATATCCATACGGATCATTCCGCATCCGTGAGTCTTATATCTCCTGGGAAAACTGAGTAGTCATGTTAGATCCAGCAAAGTGGAGGTGCATTCAGTTATTTTAATAAATTAAAAAACATGCACTAAATTGTGTGGTAAAGGTATTTAATGTGTTGCAGGTGCGTGGCGTCAAGGTGCGGCCAGAGAGAGCAGCGCTCACACCACCAACTGTCACATCGTTCAGACTACCAGATAGGTAACCTAACTCCATATTTATTATATTCGTGGGGAAACTCCAAAATCATAGCCCCTCAGAGGTGGTACCCTGAGGGGCTCTTGATCTGGGGAATTGGATCTGTGCTCTGGTTCCCTGAATACCTTCCATCCTTCCCACAGGCACTGTGTAATACAGGTTTAGCGCTCCCCATGATTATAATAATCCAAAATTATAGGGGTCATAGCACCTGAGGAATGGAAGGCAATCATAATTGATCCCTGGAAGGGGAGGGTACCTTTATAATAAAAAACTAAGCGCTAAATCCACAAGGGTCATGCAGTGCTACAGGGGTATCTTAAATTTCTTGTATAAAGAACACTCCATTAACATCAAGGCACCTCCCTTGAGGGACCTGTATGTAGATGCGTTTCTCACATTTAATTTGCCGTATATCATTCACCATAATTTTTTTAACGTTTGCAAATGGAATGCTTGGTTGTTGGATCCTATAAATAGGGAACTTGCTCTTTGTTGATGACAGTTCTTTTGAGGGATTTTGAAGACAAGTTGCAATGGTTGGCAGATTGACTATCAGATCAGAGGGAGGGAGTGGATGTACAGTATTTAGATCTGTGGGAGCAGACAAGTCAGCAGATGCATCTATGACAGATGTGAACCATAAAATAGACGCGGCAGAGAAAGATATGTAATCACCTATATGTGGCTGCAGGGATCGAACCTTAGCTCCTGGCCTCACCTCTCGACTTACTGCTTGCCAGATTCGCTTCCTCCTAGCCTTATGGGCCTTATCATACTGGCCTCCACTGCTTCACCAAGATTATTCCATTTACCAAACATCCTGAGACTGCATTATTATAATAAAAAAGAAGAGCTAAACCCAATAGGGTCATAGTGCTGCCCCTGAGACTGCAGAAATACTTCTGACATTCCTGTAGCTTATCTGTGTAAGATAATGTGTCATGATTTCATTATTCATGGGAAGCACTAAACCCATAAGGGTCAGCAGTGCCTAAGGAAGGGGAGGTAGTCATTTTTTTTTTTTTTAACAAACCGACCATATCCCACCAAGGCAGGGTGGCCCAAAAAGAAAAACGAAAGTTTCTCTTTTTAAATTTAGTAATTTATACGGGCGAAGGGGTTACTAGCCCCTTGCTCCCGGCATTTTAGTCGCCTCTTACAACATGCATGGCTTACAGAGGAAGAATTCTGTTCCACTTCCTCATGGAGATAGGAAATAAACAAGAACTAGAAAGAACATAGAAGAAAACCCAGAGGTGTGTGTATATATATGCTTGTACATGTGTGTGTAGTGTGACCTAAGTGTAAGTAGAAGTAGCATGTTTATGAGACAGAAAAGACACCAGCAATCCTACCATCATGTAAAACAATTACAGGCTTTCGTTTTACACTCGCTTGGCAGGACGGTAGTACCTCCCTAGGCGGTTGCTGTCTACCAACCTACTACCTAGAAGGCAGTTATTATAAGTGCTAAACCCACAAGCATCGTACAGCAATGGGAAGCAGTCATGCTTGTTCCAAGGTAGGGATGGTTAGCCCCCATTCACTTTTAGACATTTTGGTCCTTCCTGAACCATTAAGTCACAACTTGATAATAGTCCAGGATGAACCACAGTCATCATAAGTTGTCAGTGTGTAGAGGTAACAAAGTATTATCTTTTTTTTTTTTTTTTAACTAAAAGATGTATGAATCTTGCAGAAGTAGGAGTGGGCACCACATGAGTGGCTTCACTGTTCCAGGTGAGCGGAGTGGCAGCAATAGCCCTCCTGTTGTAGCCAGCCTCTCGCCTTCCAGCACCAGCTACTTGGATCATCCACACTATAATGCCTCGTGGATTATGCACCACCACCAGCCCACAGCACCTGTAGCCACTTCTGCCTTGAGACCAAGTATTGATGCAAACCTGACTGAACACCAGTCTCTTAGAGAACATCAAACACACACTGCACCAGCATCCAAGACTGTATCTTCAACACCACACAGATTTCCCATGTTAGCAGCTACATCAACATCCTGGGAGAGTAATAAACCTGCTCAGAGAAATAAAAGTATAAGAAGGACACACCCTAAATATTCCAGATCATCTAGCAGTGTGGCTTCTGAACCTACAGAGGAAAGAGGCACAGCAAAACTGTCTTCAGCTGAAGTAGGAGGATGGGCAAATGTAGACAGTGCTGCAGAGAGAGGGGTATGGGGCAAGGTGAATCATCGCCCACACTTTTCTAATGGTCGCCCAGATACGTTTGGCCACAGTATAACTGAAGACCTATCACATCTCAAGCCTGAGTAAGTATTTACTTTCCTAAGAGCACTGGTTGTTTGTAAAACAGCATTATAAAGGAGGGGTTTGGGATATGTTGTGTATCTTTATACATATATGCTTCTAAACTCTTGTATTCTGGGCACCCCTGCAAAAACGTTGATTATGTGTGAGTGAGGTGAAAGTGTTGAATGATGAAAGTATTTTCTTTTTGGGTCACCCTGCCTCGGTGGGAGACGGCGACTTGTTAAAAAGAAAAATGTATTCGTGGGGAATGGGAAGCAATCAGGTTTCATCTAAGGAAAAGGACATGTCCAGTTACTTGGATCAAGAGCACACCAACATCAAGGCATCCCTTGAAGGTTATAATCATATTATAATCAAAAAGAAGCGCTAAGCCACAAGGGCTATACAGCGCTGCAGGGTAGGAAAGGAAGTGAGGGTATTGGGCGGCAGAAGGGGGGAGGGGCGATCAGTAGGTTACAGAAAACAGCGGGGCAGGGGTTATAATCATAGGCATCTGAAATAATGCCAATTGAAATACTCCCTTATAGAGTGGGTGAAGGACTCCTGATCTGAGGGATTAAAGCTACCCTTCTTCAGGCACTATACAAAGCTTAATATAAACACTAACCCATGAATATAATATTTGAAACGATTTACCTTTAAAAGTAGAAGCATTGAGGCACTTTCCTTGTAGAGAAGGTTTGTGAAAGACTTTTCAGAAGGCAAATTGTGCTCAATTTTTGGGCTTTAGTAGTGGTTGTACCAGTGTATAAAGTAAGAGTAACACTTTAATGTGGTAGATACTGGTGAAGGGCAAGACTTGATCCACGGAATAGGAACTACCTTACCCTTGGGCCAAAGGTATGGTTCTTTATGGGTTAAAATGCTTCACCATATTATAATAAATCTGGAATGAAACATAAAAGCAGGAGTCATGCCAGGAATGGTTGGAGGGAAGATGTACAAAACTTAGTTTTAGGGGCTTGAGCATCCAGACAACACTGTATAACCCTGGTGATTTAGTGTTTAGTTTTTATTATAATTGAGCATCCATCAGGCTTGTGTGAGCATGTAAGGAGTGCATGGAGAAAAGTGGTCTTTTGTGGATGTACTGTTAGAAGCATAATTTGATGAATTATTATTATTATAATCAAAAAGAAGCACTAAGCCACAAGGACTATACAGCATAATTTGATGAAGGAATTCAGGGAAACCAGTTAGCCAGACTTGAATCCTGGAGGTAGGAAGGTAGTGTCTGAACTCTGATGGCAATTGGATGAGCATTTTCTTTGGGTCACTCTGCCTTGGCAGGAAATGACAGTTGTCAAGAAAATGAGTGAACGCACAAGCTGCCGAGGAAGTCATGTCATAGGTAAGGTACCCAAGTCTGTGACCTAGTCATGTATTTTATCATTTGCCTTTTATTAAGCATTGCAGTGTTAGAGGGTAGGGGAAGAAGGGGAGTGATAGGAGGAGATATATAAATTTTATAATTTGGCTTTCTTTTTAATTGTAGAAAAGCTGAAAACTCACCTGGTAGCATTGTAATATCCTAGTTTTAACTCTCGTAAAAGTTTATAAGGGGTGGCTAACTGTGACTTTTTATAAACTACTGTAAGTGCATGCTTCTTATTATTTAAGATGATACAATATAATTTATTTTTCTAAATTACACTGAGTATAAATAGTAAACCCTCCATTTAATGAACTTTTGAAATACAGAACAAAATTTATTGGCTCAGTAGATTTGGAAACAATGGACATTATTTTGGTCACAGAATTGTTCATTATTGCTACACTTACAGCAAATCTTATCACTAGCCACCAAAATTGCCATACTGGCCACCCACTTCCCCCAATTAGTCCATGTACATAGATGTATGCCCCTCTGCACTTGTACTGAAATATAAAGATAATTAGTTCAAACTAATTGTACCAGGAAAAAATTAAAATGTCTATTCTTTACCAGGCATTCACAACGAAGGAATGGAGGAAGAGAAGCTGATCAACTATTTATATCTCACTCTGTCACTGATCACTCATCATCCAGGATGCCAGGAGGCAATTCTTACAGTACATCACCTCATGATTATCCACAAGGAGAAAGAGTTAATTTTGATCAACATTTCCCTCGTCAACGACAGAGTGGCGAGAGTAATGTACATAATGTTGGGTTCCCTGCCTTAAGTATTCCAAGTGGTAGTATCCAAGAACAAAACTCAAGAAGAGCATCTGTATCTCATCAGGCCTCAGACCATACACATGAACCTGGTCATGAAAGACTAAATGAACCTTTCCATGTAGACTGTGAATTGGTTGACTACATTCTCCCCTGCAATAATAATCAGATATATAAAACTCGTGTGCATGATCTGCCAAACAGTGACGCTCGCCTTAACCACCCTATCGCACAAAACACAGGAACACTACAGATTAATCGCAATCCATTAACCACAACCTCAACCTCTCGTAGACCCCTCAGTATCCAAGAGATTGTGAGGATTACAAATATGTCAAATACAGATCACTTATTATTGTATTTAAAACAAAAACATATTACTTTTAGCCAACTTCTTAATTTTATTAACCGTGGAGTAACAAAGGAAGAAATTTTAATGTTCCTTCAAAAACCAGATATTTCAACTACACATGAACCATGGTTATTAGAGCCTGAGAGCAAATTTCCCCAAAATGTGTCATTATCCACAAAAACTATTGAAGTATCTCAATTACCAGAATCACCCGAATCAAATTCAGATGTATTCTTTACCGAAAGTGCTGTTAATAGCACTATAATATTTGATTCATCAGATAAGCAAACAGCTCTGTCTACAAATCCAGAGGATGAGCTGAATGATGAAGCAGTTGAATCAACAGATATTGAGAATGAACAAAGGCAAAGAAACAGAAAGAAAAAAAATAGAGACAGACAGAGAGGAAATGGGCAAAGGGGTAAAAATGAGAGAGGCAAGAAAAATAAGGGGCAAAGAGGCAAAAAAGGACGGCAGAAAGCTCTCTCTGATCTCGTTAACACGACAGTAATGTTGCCAGTAGATGACAATACAACCATATCTGTCTCAGCAAAACAATTTACTGTAACAGAACCAGCTATTTCAAATGTATCACCAGAAATTCCTGTTTCAACCCTACCCTCCTTTTCAAGTCAAACAACATTTGCAGCACTACCACCTGAACCTTCCATGAAGACATTCAGTGATACCACTGCTTCAAGATCAAATCCAAATTTAGCCCAAATTCCTTTATCAGTACACTCTTCTACTACTGTTCCATCTTCAGAAGTTGCCATAAAAGTTGAACTCGCAACAACCCCTGTTGTATCAAGAGTAGCAACACCATCTTGGATTCAAATGGGTACATCAAACCCAGTACATGTTCCCAGTTCTGATAGCCTTCCTACTGACAAAAATTCAGAAGCTTCAATTCTATCTGTTACATTAATGGAACTTCCTGCAGACCATAAAGGCAAAAAGACTCATGAAACAGTGCCTGAGGATCTTAGACCTAAATCAGTTCAGAGGAGACCAAGCAACCCTATGCCTCAAGATATGCACAGGCCACACCAGGAGAAGCAAAGACCACCAAAACCTGTGCGGAAGTCTCCAAAACACACCTCGGTATCAATGCTGGAACAAACTGAAACTGAGTTTGGAGGCAGAACCAACTTTGTAAAGGAGCAGCAAAAGGATGACTACATTTTCCCTATTAAGGGGATCTTGATTATCAGTGGTGTTATGGGTGCCCTGGCCGTGTTTACACTTGTAGTTCTTATATCTTATGCAGTCATTAAGTGTACGAAAAAACCTGTTGTTAACAATTACCAAGTGTCCGAGCAGAAGCCAGTAAACCAATAAATTATTGATTCAATTTGTTTTTACTTTATCATACAATAAATAAAATGACTAGGTTTGTAAGGCATTGACCCCACAGTTCATTACTGGGACCAATTTGTAGCTAAATTGGTCCTACTCCTATCTAACGTGTTCACACATTTGTGAGAGCATGTTAGATAGTAGTGGAGGCCAGTGGATTTTATTTGACATACTGTTGGAGTGAGAGCAAACTAGCATTTATGAAGGAATTCTGATAAACTAGTTAGCAGAACCGAGTCCTGGAGGTGGGATGTACAGTACCTGCAGTCTAGAGGGGTAGGGTAATTGAGGTTTGAGGGTCATCTGAGCTATGATGTCAGCACACTTCTGGCAAGTGTGTGACTGAGCAAATGATAGTGAAAGCAGTTTCTATTTGTTGGGTCACCTACCTCAGTGGAAGGACGATGTTAAAAAGAAGTGTACACATGCAGTATATACGTACAGAGTACCATACTTTGAGCTACACATCTTGGTACAATAATTAAATTCCATTAATAATTTAGGCATCCCTCTTTTTAAAGTCCATAATTTATAATCATCTTTTCTGGAGTTCTGTAGAATAATAGGAATCACTAGAAAGTCGGCTATTGTATGTACAACACTGTTTAAATTTAAAAGAGGACTAATGTATTATTACTTTACAGTAAATATTCATTTCGTATACCTATCGTAAAAATTATGTAAATAATTTTGCTCAGGTACTGTAATTAGAACTAAGCACTAAACCTACAAGGGGTCACAAAATAATGTAAAATCATATGCAGTGTAGAAAATCAAAATGACTAGAACTCTGCAAGAAGATTTTTATAAATTGAACAAAGTGGCAAGTGAATGATAAAAAATAACATCGATGCCATAGACTAAAAATTCAAATAGACTTGATTGTGCTTTAAAATATCCACTTTTACACAAATCTAAGAAAATGATCAGACGTGAATACAAAGAACAGGTTTTCACCAGAAAATAATGTAAATGCAATGATGAAAAGCTTATGCCATATTGTAGTCTGATGTGGAAAATTACCAGTTTTAATATACAGCAGTGGTATATTGTCAACTAAAAAAGATTAGATACAACAGAAGTTCCAGGGTGCTGAAAAAAGTACCAAGTTTTAAAAAAATATGATAACTTAGTAGACAGTGGAGAATGAGCAGATAGATAATAAAGAAAATAGATTGCAGATTACTTTGACACCAGCAGCCTTGAATAAGCAAGTTAGAGAATTTACAGTGCTTAGAACTATAAGGCTAGACAGCAGCAAACTTTGGGACTGTCAAGATTCCAGACATCACTGTCAGATTCCCAACAGTGGTGTCTGCAGTCTTAGTGAAACTATTATAATCAGAAAGCAGTAAACCTACAAGGGTCATATAGCACAAGTGAAACTCAATATAATTAATGAAACTTATTTATTCTTTGCAATGTTAGAAACTGTTTGAAGTTTTTAATCATAGTATTTTGTTTTTTAAAGAATAATTGTATAAGACCTAGCTAGGTGAAAATTAATACTGTCACCAGCTCACTAAAAGCATCATTCTAAACATGACACACAATATTATGAAGAAACAGGCATCACTCAAAAAGGTATTACACCTTGATACAAAAGGTACGTAAGTACTATCATGCTTGCATTCCCACCATCAGCCGCTGAATTTCTGTTCACTGCTCCTCTCGTGTCACAAGTAAAGCAGACATGCTCGCCAAGCAAAATCCATAGCATGAATCTATCACAAAAAATAATTATTACGGCATGTCATTATCAGTTGTACAAGAAAAGTCCATTGCCACAGACTACTTTTTGCACATTTATGTTTAGACTTTTGATGGTGGATGGAGACCTTCACCCTTCATCTCTCAAACTGCAGCCACGTGTAATATTAGGATGGCCATTACTGTATTTGAAAATTTTAACTGATATTCATGTTTATCACCTGAGTGGGATTAAAATGTGTAGTTATTTTAAAAAACTGTACATTTGCATGTATATTTATTACTACAGAATGTTTTAAACATTGTACAATATATTGTATACAGTGGTTGGCCCTTATCCTCCAGTCAAGAAAGGCCAGCAAGCCAATTGGTTAAACTGCATCATCATCCTATTAATAACAAATGGTTAAATGGACTTTTATACATCCTTTCCTCAATGCCATTAACCATGACATTCAAGATGATAATTTAAAACAAAGTGAAAATAAGTAAGAAAATAGCTAGGATTAGTGTATATAAATTTTAACCCTTCACAAAAATATTACCCATGAAGTTGACTCCTACTTAAAACCTTGACTCGTCCTAAAGAATATATGGTACAATATATAAAATTAATGTTTTTCTTAGTTGAAATATATTCTCTAATATTTACAACATGCAAATATTGATGATTGGGGAAAGAGGGTATCAAGGACATAGTGGGCAAAACATTTAACAAGAATGTGGAGAGCTGCTTTTGGTATTTAACAAGCTGTTTGGAGTGTGATCATAGTAATGTCTATGAAGGTATTCAGGGATATTTTTTTTTTTTAGCCAGATTTGGACTTTGGACGTACAATACCTGAACTTTATAAATCAAGTAAGGATTACGTCTGCACCGTATACCTGTAAAATACATTACATCTACATAAAACACTAAATAGAGCATTCTAAAAAAAATCCAAGTGGAAAACATCTTAAAATAATAATGCTGTTATTAATGTAATAACTTGTGCAACTTAGTTCAAATCTGGACTCTTGTAGTTGTGTCAATATTTCTATGTAGTAGACAAGAGCAAGTACTGTGCATGGAGTTTCATCCTGGACCTTCCTTGGATTTGTCAACAACAAACAAAATTTTCTAGAACTTAGGGTACAAATGTTTGTTTTTTCTCGTCAGAACTCACCCTAGTGGTGGTAGTCAGATTATGAACTCCACTTTATTTCATTGTCTCTAAGAATAGCTCATTTACGAATACTCCTTTTGGCTCATACTGTATTTACCTCCACATAATAAACTAATGGTTGGTTCCTAAAGTGACAAAAAAATGTGGAATTCAGCCATCAAAAGCAGTCATATTTAGGTATAATTAAAAAAAAAAAAAAACTCAAATGAGAAATGTCTCGATAGAAACGAGATTAACCCCTCGACTGTGGCAACCCCAAATCCTGAGGTGTCTCCTGGTGTTGCAAAATATTTAAAAAAGTTTTTTCTTGTGTAATGATAGAGAATCTTTTCCCAATGGTAATGACACCAAATGTACGAAATTTGATGGAAAACTTGTGGAATTACACTCTTGCAAAGTTAGCGACCTCGGCGATATTTACGGATCGGTTATTTTGCCCACTTTGAGCCCTATTTTTGGCTAATTCCATTGTTCCAGTCGACCATACTCTTAACTATTTCTTTAGAACTCCATTTGTTCTATCGATCAAGTACAAGAAACTGCCCATTTACCGATTTCAACTACCCAATAAAGTGGTTAGAAATTAGCAATTTGGCCAATTTCACGCAAATTAACCCTTTGACTGTCGCGGCCGTATATATACGTCTTACGAGGTACCGTGTTTGACGTATATGTACTCATAAATTCTAGCGGCTTCAAATCAAGCAGGAGAAATCTGGTAGGCCCACATGAGAGAATGGGTCCGTGTGGTCAGTGTGCACCATATAAAAAAAATCCTGGAGCACGCAGTGCATAATGAGAAAAAAAAAAATTCCGACCGTTTTTTTTTAATTAAAATGCAGACTTTGTGGTCTATTTTCGTATAGTATTTATGGTTGTATTCTCGTTTTCTTGGTCTCATTTGATAGAATGGAAAACATATTATAGAAATAGAGGTGATTTTGATTGCTTTTACTATAAAAAGAACCTAGAAATGAAGCTCAAAGTAGGGGAAATGTTTGATTTTTGCCAATGTTCAAAAGTAAACAAATGATGCCATTGTGCAATAAATATCCAACTAGCCATTCTAATATGCAGTAATGAATGGGTTGATGTTATTTATACAATTATTACAGTGTTGCAGTAGTCTGCATAATAGTAAGTCTTCTATTTTTTGTTTGAATAAAAATTCAAAATAGAAAGCAAGAGTAATATCAGAGGGGCCTGGAGATATGACTGATGAACAAAGAAAATGTTATTTTAGAGCCAGGAATGTCTGCATTGTTCATTCTGGGCCTTATTTTGAAATTGTCATATTTTTTAGTTTTTGTGAAATTGGCCAAATTGCAAATTTCTGACCACATTATTAGGTAGTTGAAATCGGTAAATGGGCAGTTTCTTGTACTCAATCGATAGAAAAAATGGAGTTCTAAAGAAATAGCTATGAGTTTGGGCGACTGGAACAATGGAATTAGCCGAAAATAGGGCTCAAAGTGGGCGAAATCGCCGATTTGTAAACAGTGCCGAGGTCGCTAACCTCATGAGAGCATAATTCCGTCAGTTTTCCATCAAATTTAGTTTTTTTGGTGTCATTACAATCGGGAAAAGATTCTCTATCATTTCATAAGAAAAAATAATATTTTTTTTTTTAATTTTGCGACACCAGGAGACACCTCAGGATTGGGGGTTGTGACAGTCAAAGGGTTAAAAAAGATGTCAATTTCAAAATAGGGTCCAGAATGAACATTATTATTATTATTATTATAATCAAAAAGAAGCGCTAAGCCACAAGGGCTATACAGCGCTGCAGGGTAGGGAAAGAAGCGAGGGTATTGGATGGCAGAAGGGAGGAGGGATGATCAGTAGGTTACAGAAAACAGCGGGGCAGGGGATAGTACGGGGGTAGAGGGTAGCAAGAGATTGAAGTAGAAAGGGCTGAAGGTATCAGAATTTGTGAAGTCAGTCAATTGTTGTCAAAAAGTCAATGAGAGTGTCTGGATGAAAGGTGGGTCCATCAGCGAGAAGGGAAGGTAAAGAGAGAGCAGCAGAGCGAAGACGACGACGGAGGTAAATTCTGCGTGCTCGTTGATAAAGTGGGCAGTCCAACAGAATGTGGCTGACTGATAATGGAACTTGGCAA